TGAACGTCGTACGACGCAAATCGGCCGTCGCCTTCTGATGAGCTCAACCCACGAACATCTTCTTCATGCACTTTCATACAAAATGGAAGTCTCCCGAAATAGTATCGTTTAATCCATTTCTTGTTCTTCATTAACCACAATGACAGGTCAGTAATTGTGATATAGAAGGAAAATTATTTACAATTGTGGACGTTTTACTGATCAGAACTTGGCGAAAGTTAAGCATGTATGTATTTAGGCAGCTAGTGCATGTTGTCTTTATCCTGAATTTCTTCTCCAGAGCGCAAGTTTGTATTTTATAGTATCCTCATATACGAAGTATAAGAGTAGCCAATAGAGACCATTGAGATAATGAAATGGATCTGCTTAAATTAATATTATGAGAAGTATTCACCCAATTTCGTTCTAGGTATTAAAGGATTGGAAGAAGAATTTTCCCACAATCATATGAGGAGAGCTGACGGTTTCGTCATCACCTTAAACGAAATTGGATGAATACATCTCATACTACTGATTTACTGGTAGTCTCGAAACAATACTTAAATGCAAAAAATATACTAAGATTACCCTGACAACTAACTATCAAAATCATCCTATATCTAGCTACCTTTATAAGAATTTTTTTTGTTATATTCGCATTTTGACATTGTGTCGAGACTAAATGTAAATCAGTAGTATGAGATGTATTCACACAATTTCGTTTAAGGTCATGAAGGACTGGTAGAACAAGAATTTTCCCACAACGATATGAGTTTAGCTGACGTTTCTATTGCATTTCACATAGCCTTGCTTTCCCAACAGTTGTTCTCATCCCGGCTGGATTGGACTGCAGTTTCTACATCTCATACTACTGATTTACTGTTAGTCTCGAAACAATACTTAAATGCGAAAAATATACTAAGATTACCCTCAGAACTAACTATCAAAATCATCCTATATCTAGCTACCTTTAGAACAATTTATTTTTTTTATATTCCCATTTAACTATTGTGTCGAGACTAACAGTAAATCAGTAGTATAAGATGTATTCACCCAATTTCATTTAAGGTGATAAAGGACTGGTAGAAGAATTTTCCCACAATCATGTGAGGATAGCTGAGGCTTTCATTGAATCGCACAGAGCCTTGCTTTCCCAACAGTTGTTTTCATCCAGGCAGGAGTGGACTGCAGTTTCGATATCGCCTACTACTTATTTACTGGTAGTCTCGACACAATACTTAAATGCGAAAAATAAATAAATATTAGTTGAGAATAATTATCCCATGGGCTAGATTGAAACTAGCACTAGATTAATAAAGGAAATAAATAAAGAAGGAGATAAGTAGACCTGCTTTCATTTTTGTCTCTGCTTTTGTACATTCACTCTATAAAGATAGGCAAACTGGTGGGAAAGAGAGGAATCAAAACGGTTTTAGGGAAAATACGATACTTCCTTCAGTTATATTGACTTTTAAGGATAAAGTTAACCCATTATCCAGATTAATCTGCTATAAAATGATGTCTTCATGTTGTCGCTTTCATGTTGGACGGACTTGCCGTCCCATTCGACAAAGAGTGAATAAGCAGAAAGCGCATGTAGCGGCTGTTCTGATGAAAAAGCCAAGCTAGCGCAGGACACGGCAGAAACTGGAGCAGAGTTGGAGTGGTCTCAAACTTGTCGTTTTGTAGATTGTGGATGAGTGAATAATTATGGACGAGCATGGATTGAAGGTAAGGAATAGAGCGAAAAAGTCGCGTGGCAATTACTTATGCTCAACTGATAGACTCAAGCATAGAATGTGTGTTGAGCTGTCTGAAAAAAATAGGAGACACAACTGGTCTTCTGCTATAAATGAGATAATAAATAGTAATAATAATAATAAAAGGATAGTTACAGACGACAAAAAGTCTAGACGAATAAAATGTGAGCTTTGCAGAATCTGCTGAGATCAAAATTGATGAGAAGACTTTCATTTCGTATGAAAGTGCATGAAGAAGACATGCGTAAGTCAGTCTCACCAGAAGACGTCGGTTGATTCGCTTTGTAGCGCAGCCGTTTGGCTTTAATACGACCGTCAGGTCGATGTCGTCCACAAGACATCCTCCAACGTTTCGGGCGAAGAAGGACTCAGCTGTCGTTCATTAAACCACATGAAGAAGATCGCCTGACCTGGGACCTATTTTTGCAAGATCCTCAAGTTAGCATCAAGTCAAGATGCATATACTCGTTGCGAGCACAATTTAACATACAAATGGATAAATAATAGTTTGGTTGATTCACGAATAATCGAATGTATTTGTGTGTGTGTGTGTGTGTGTGTGTGTGTTTGTATGTCAATGTCTGTACGCAAAACCTGTCATTATGTTAAATTTTACTGGCAATGAGTGCATATATCATATGGAAAAAACCGATTTGTCTTCTTGACTTGAGGCTAACTTGAGACGTTTGCAAGAATAGGTCCCAGCTCTGACGATCTTCTTCATGTGTTATGGTGGACGGCATCAACCTGAACGTGGTATTCATACCAAACGGCCGCAATACAGAGCGAATCAGCCGATGTTTTCTCACCTACGAATCCCTTCATCATGTGCTTTCATATGAAATGAAAATATTTGCATCGATAGCAAATTGTATTTTGTTGCCTTGGTTCTAATTGCAGTCACTTTTATGTACATTTTCGTCCTCCTCTCTTTCGCTCTCACAGGAACACAAAATGTTCATCAACCTACCAGTCCTGTGCCCGACCCTACGTTAAAATGTAAACAATATTTGAAGAGGGTTGTTAAAAAATTCCTACTTTGAGCTACCAATGCTGGATTCATACATTTACGAACACATCAAGGCCCACAAACACACAAACACAAACACATACACAGGCTTCCAGGTTGACATCCTGAAGCGTCATTTGCTCAAATACGGTTGTAGGAATGATGCCATCTGTTTCGAAGATGGCACTTTTTCGCCTCATCAAGAAGATTCCGGCGAAGCCAATCGACAGCTGGTCGAAAGGAATTCTTCTTTGTCTTCTGGTTGGCTCGACCTTCGAGTCTCTCCACTAGACACTTTCATTTGAAATGGAAGCGAGCTCAAAGAAGGATTGAGAGTTGAGTTTTCACACAATGAGGATGAGTGAATGAATGTGGGAAAATGCAACCACTAATATTCCATCAATTAATGCAGCCTAGGCTGACCAGAACTCTTAAGAAAAATCTACCGGTAGTGGTAAAGTAATAATAATAATTTTGAGTATGTGCCTCTTTGAGATAGCAAAAGAAGGCGTATAACGCAAGTATAATGTCGGCAGACCAACTTTACTCGTTTAGTGTTTTGGTGCTGTTTTCACGTCTATCCTCACGGCGATGCTCATCTCGGATGAAACGAGGTACAATCTCCCATTTGCCGCCTGCATTGTCAATTCACTACTCCCACAATCATATGAGTAGAGCTGACGTTTACTTCATCACCTTAAACGAAATTAAGTGAATACACCTCATACTACTGATTTACTGTTAGTCTCGAATAAATACTTAAATGCGAAAAATATACTAAGATTACCCTGAGAACGAACTATCAAAACCATCCTATATCCAGCTAACTTTATAAGAATTATTCTTGTTATATTCGCATTTAAGTAATGTGTCGAGACTAACAGTAAATCAGTAGTATGATATGTATTCACACAATTTCGTTTTAGGTGATGAAGGACTGATAGAAGAATTTTCTCACAATAATATGAGGAGAGCTGACGGTTTCTTCATCATCTTGAACGAAAATGGGTGAATACATTACATCTTACTGATTTACTGGTGGTTTCGACACAATACTTGAATGCGAAAAATATACTAAGATTACCCTGACAACTAACTATCAACTCATCCTATATCTAGCTAACTTTAAAAGAATTTATTTTTGTTTTATTCGCATTTAAATATTGTGTCAAGACTACCAGTATAACAGTAATATAAGAAGTAATTATCCATTTCAGTTTAAGGTGATGAAGGAAGCGTCAGCTATCTTCACATGATTGTAAGAAAATTCTTCTACCAGTCCTTCATCACCTTAAACAAAATTGGGTAAATACACCTCATACTAATGATTTACTGGTAGTCTCGAAACAATACTTAAATGCGAAAAATATACTTATATTACCCTGACAACTAAGTATCAAAATCATCCTATATTTAGCTACCTTTAGAACAATTTATTTTTTTTATATTCCCATTTAGCTATTGTGTCGAGACTAACAGTAAATCAGTAGTATAAGATGTATTCACCCAATTTCATTCAAGGTGATGAAGGACTGGTAGAAGAATTTTCCCACAATCATGTGAGCAGAGCTGAGGCTTCCATTTAATCGCACAGAGCCTTGCTTTCCCAACAGTTGTTTTCATCCAGCCAGGAGTGGACTGCAGTTTCGACATCGCATACTACTTATTTACTGGTAGGCTCGACGCAATATTTAAATGCGAAAAATAAAGAAATATTAGTTGAGAATAATTATCTCATGGGCTAGATTGAAACTAGTACTAAATTAATAAAGAATACCTTTTTGAAGTGTGTATGAGTAGGGGGAGATAAGGAGACCTGCTTCCATTTTTTGTCTTTGCTTTTGTACATTTGCTCTGTAAATATAGGCAAACTAGTGGATGAAGAGACCAATAAAAACGGTTTTAGGGAAACTACGTTACTTTCTGGTGCTGTTTTCATGTCATTGACGATGCCTATCCTCCCGGCGATGCTCAGCTCGGATGGAGCGAGGTACAATCTCCCATTTTCCGCCTACATTGTCAATTGACTACTCTGAAAAGTCGATTAACATGAAATAAAATAAAGATATTCTTCGAATCCCACCTTTTTTCATATGACGTTACAGCGAAAATTGCTGACCACACGAACACTTCACACCATAAAATGGGACTATGACATCAAAGTGCCAGCCAGCTGCACTTTCGTGCAAAACTCAGGTCAGTCTCATCGCCCACTGCCTGGCTGGGTGGGTAGACGCATTCAACGCGTTGCTGGACGCTTTGGCGACGGATTGTCTGGAAGGCGGCGAAGGAGAGAGAAGCTGTGTTGCCGATCTCGACTGAGACATTATTATAGATACATATTCTGGCATGTATATGCCAAACATACAAGGATGCATGACCTACAAACTAATGTTGCATACTACTCGTCGAGAAGATGTTCACAATAAAAAATGGACCTTTCTCTCATCAATCTGTAAACAATCTTTTATTAAGTGCAGAAATTATGAGAAACCACGACAAAACCGCATCCAGACTAGGAAGTAAACGCCAAAATTACTCCGAGAATACACTTTATTTTGCATTACAATTCGCTACACAATTTGACCCCAACTGTCCCTTTTCTGCACTCCTGACTCCGATTCCCACCTCGTCCGGGTCTCGAACCATCGGCGCACGGATTCACAGACAAGCAGGTTGCCACCGTGGCCACATGACGACGGTGCTGAGGACAACCTGGCCGAAAAAAACGCAAAAACCTTGAGAAGCATCTCCCAAACTGGCCAAGTCCAGTCAAGCATGGCATGTCTCGTCTGCCCTGGCAACCTGATTCAGGCGGATAGACTGAATGTCTAACCCCGAAACCACACGAAAATGTGGTGCATACAGACGAAACACACTCGATTCGACCTCTCTCTTGCTAGGCAGAATATACCGTTTATAGGCTACTTGTGTCATGCCAGTTTATGATAGAATGTAGATGAAAGGAAGAGGAGATGAAAAATGCACCTTTAGGCATAAGGCGTCTTTTGATTTCGTCTCACAATCCACTTGTCTACTACAAGCTGACACGACCGGGCAAAAGCAATCAGGCTTTGCAAAGACCTGATTTCGCGGAAAACCCGCCCTTTCTCGCGCCAAATGTGGCACACCACAGCATGTGAGAGACCATCCAGATACATCGTTTGCCAACTGTCTGTTATGCATACTACTTATGAGTCATTGTGTCAATATTTACAGTTCAATATTGCACTTATTAATATGAATATATTCAAGTTTATGCCATTTCTTTCGTTTTTACCCACTTCCCCTCAACAAAAGGGCTTTACTCGTTTCGACCATAGTCTGGAGACAGAAAAATAGGAAAGCCAGTTTTATTTGTGTGTACTAAGTTGTCTCCTGTCACGCTAAGCAGACGGCGTCCAAAATTGAAATTTTTGATAAATAAATAAAAGTAATTATAACGAGTTCCACCGATGAAATACGAGGACATTAATCCGTCCGTGCTGTAGTTCCAACTTTTTGGAATATAATATTATCAATTAATTAATTTGACATAATTGCTTGACCAAGGCCCTTCTGCACTGTTTTTGCGAAAGTGTATTGCTTTCTACATGAATTCCCACTTTGACAGAAAAGTTGGTTGGAAGCAATTCATGGTTTCGTCTCACCGGAAGCCCACGGAGGAATGCCGCAAAAGCAAGACTGTTGAATTGTGCGAAGAAGTATTTGGTTCGCCGTCTTGTGACGCCGACGAACTTGTGCCAAGCTTCCAGTGCATACATACAGTAGACAACAACCCAAACCCAAACATGAATAAATGTTAGAGGATTGTACGCTAGTTTGTTTGTGTTTGTTGGTACGTTTGTTGATTTGT